AAAGTTTAAAAGTGATTTTTACTAAGATGGCTGCTTATTTTTGTATAGCTCAGCCCCTAACATCCCAACCCACCAATCACTAGGTACATTCTGCCTAAGCCAGCTCCCTAGCCCTGTCAATGCCCCTAGCCCTGTCAATGCCACTAAGCTCTGCTTTTGGTACATGGGGCTAAGTTACTGTAGGTGAAAATTTAGGATCTAGTGATCACCAGTCAGTGTAGGTTAACATTAAAACATTGACTGAGGCACACAACATAAAAACAAAGGTTTTGGATTTTAGAAAAACAGACTTTTTAAAAACTAAAATATGCACAAAGGAGTCATTATCAGACTGGATAAATTTAGATTGAGTTAAGTATTATATAAATAATGAAGTAGGATTATTTAAAAGTTGCACTATGAAGGCCACAGAAAATTGCATTAGGCTTGTCAGTAAGAGCAAAAAAGTGAAGCAACCACTGTGGTACTCTGCAGAAATGGCCAAAACCGTAAAAACCTAAAAGTTAGCATATACTATTTATAAAAAAAAAACAAAAAAAACCAGAGTGAGGAAGATAGACAGATCTATACTATTCGGCAAAAAGAGCAAGTTATATGTGGTTCCAAAGCACACACAGAAGAGAAAATAGCACAGTCAGTAAAAAACGGGCATTTTTTAGATACACAGATGAGAAAATGAAAGTAAAACAAGGATTAGTTAAACCAGGGGTCGTCAACCTGGTCCCTACCGCCCACTGGGCGTTTCAGGATTCCAGATGGGCGGTAGTGGGTTCTACTGTACAAGCAGAATCCTCCCTCCTTCCCGAGAGATGAACGCTCTATTCATCTCGTGCACACTCAGTGGTTAGCAGGAAGAGCAGGCGTGCAGATGCAAGCATCAGAATGCGTGCGCACGTATGAATGCGTGTGCACGTAAAAACGCATGCACGCGAACAAGTGTAACACGTGGGTAGAGAAAGGTGAGGAGTTGGAGAAGGTGGATACATGATAGCAAGATGAGGAGTACTTGTAAAATAGGAGAAAGAAGTAGCAGAGTATTTGTAGAATAGGAGAAAGAAGGAAAATAAAAATATAGGGAGAAGGATTGGTGTTGGCTAATAAAAAATAAGTGGGCTACCTAGCTTGGCCTTCCTGCTGGGCATTGCTATAAGGAAGGTAAAATAATAAAGGAAAAGGATAAAAAAAAGGGAAGAAAAAAAAAGAGGGGGGAGGAACTTGAGAAGGGGAGCTGACGCACAGATGATAAATCATATTATGAGCAAACAGAGAAGTCGTCTGAATATCACCGAAAGAGGAGACCTTTGTTTGTTCCTTATGAAAATCGAACCAGATATCAAATATTTATTCTCGCATCATCAGCCTCAAGGATCTCATTAATCACTAGTAAAGGTAATTTCAATTTACTTTATTGTTTTCTCATTAAACTTTATAAAGTTAAAAACATTATAAACATGCATGAAGGAGAAATAAAAAGATACATTTAAGTACTTATTTTGTATTTTTTTTAAACACCATCCTTTCTAAAAAATATTCTGGACCCCAAAAACTGGTGGGCGGTAAGGATATTTTTCCATTAAGAAAGATACATTAGTGGGCGCTAGGTAGAAAAAGGTTGACTACCCCTGAGTTAAACTAAACAAAAGAAGGAAGGTATGTAGAGGTATATAAAGGTCTAGCTGACTGCCTCAATGAATATTTACAGATGAAAATAAAGGACAAGGACCTCAGTTAGTAAAAAGGACAAATTAGTCATTTGTTACATGTGAGTTTACAGAGGAAGAGGTTCTATTTCAACTGTCAAAAGCAAAAACAAATAAGTCGACGGGGCCTGATGGGATACACCCAAAGTTATTAAATGTTATTAAAAGTGGTGTACTAGCAAAACCGTTAATGGAATTATTTAACCAATCATTGTTAACAGGAGTAGTCCCAGAAGATTGGAAGTTAGCGAATGTTGTGCCCATTCACAAGAAAGGTAATAGGGAGGAGTTGGGCAACTATAGGCCAGTAAGCCTTACTTCAGTAGTGGGGAAAGTGATGGAAACCATGTTAAAGGATAGGATTGATGAACATCTAAAATCACGTGGATTTCAAGATCAGAGACAACATGGGTTTACTTCAGGGAGATCATGCCAAACTGATCTTATTGATTGGGTAACTAAGATAATAGATCATGGTGGTGCTTACCTAGATTTCAATAAGGCATTTCACATTGTCACACATTGAAGCTTATCAACAAACTGTAATCTTTGAGTATGGAATCCAATATTGTTGAATGGGTAAGGCAGCGGCTAAGTGACAGGGTTGTAGTCAATGGAGTATACTTGAAACAAGGTCTTGTTACCAGTGGGGTAATTCAGGAATTTGTACTTGGACCCATTCTCTTCAATAATTTTATTAGTGATATTGCAGAAGGTCTTGATGGGAAGGTATGAATTTTTGCTGATGATACAAAGATTAGAACAGGGTTGATGTTCCAGGTGGGATAAACCAAATGGCAAATGATTTAGGGAAACTAGAAAAATTGGTCAGAGCTGTGGCAACTAACATTTCATGTGGATAAGTGCAAGATAATACATCTTGGGCATAAAAACCCAAAGGCAGAGTATAGAATATTTGACAGAGTCCTAACCTCAACATCTGAGGAAAGGGATTTAGGAGTAATTATTTCAGGACATAGTCTTAAATTAGAGGGGAAAAGGTTTAAAAATATCAGGAAGTATTACTTTACTGAGAGGGTAGTGGGTGCATGGAATAGCCTTCCAGCTGGGGTGGTAGAGGTTAACACAGTGAGGACGTTTAAGCTCGGGATGGGCATAAGGCTATCCTAGATAAAAGATAAGGCCAGGGACTAATTATTATTATTTTATTATTTATATAGCGCCATCAGATTCTGTAGCGCTGTACAATGGGTGGACTAACAGACATTTAATTGTAACCAGACAACTGGACGTTCAGGAACAGAGAGGTGGAGGGCCCTGCTCAATGAGCTTACATTCTAGAGGGAGTGGGGTATAGTGACACAAAGGGTAAAAGTAGAGGTACGAAGTAGGTTGTTAGAAAAGTATTCACTGAGAGCCTAGTAGCTAATTTTTGACAGTTGCAGGACAGGAGTCATGGGGTTGGGGGATAAAAACCTGCTAACAGTTTAATTGATATGCTTTCTTGAAGAAGTGAGTTTTTAATGATTTTTTGAATGAATGGAGACCCTGTGAAATTCTTACGGAGTTCCACAGAAGAAGTGCAGCCCTGGAAAAATCTTGGAGGCGAGCGTTGGAGGTGGGAGTACGGGCAGTGGATATACGTAGGTCTTTGGCAGAGCGTAGGGGCCTCGACGGGGCATACTTGTTTATTAGGGAGGATAGGTAGGTTGGAGCAGCATTATGTAAGGACTTGTAAGCAAGCACCAGAATTTTGAATTGAGCCCTATATCTAACTGGAAGCCAATGCAGGGACTGACAGAGCATGGAGGCGTGGGAGGTGCAGGCAGACAGGAAAATGAGCCTCGCCGCTGCATTCATTATAGATGGCAATGGTGCAATCTGGGAACACGTAAGACCACTGAGAAGAGCATTTCAGTAGTCCAGGCGAGAGAGAACAAGAGCATGGACCAGCACCTTAGCCGCATCCGGGGTTAAATAGGGGCGGATGCGCGCTATGTTCTTGAGATGGAAGCGACAGGATTTGGAGATTGATTGTACATGAGGGGTGAAGGAGAGGTTGGAGTCAAAAAGAACACCAAGGCAGCGAGTCTTCGAGGTAGAGGTGATGCTAGCGCCGTTGACTTGAAGGGAGACAGACACAAGAGTAGTAACACTTGAGGGAGGAAAGACCAGAAGTTCTGTTTTGGACAGTTTTAATGACGTGAGCAGCCATCCATTTGGAAATCGAAGAGAGGCTGTCAAAGATACGAGTCAAGATGGGCGGAGAGAGATCAGGAGAGGACAGGTAGATTTGCGTGTCATCCGCATAGAAATGATAACGGAAGCCAAAGGAGCTGATGAGTTTACCAAGGGAGGCAGTGTAGCTAGAGAACAGTAGGGGACCAAGGACAGAACCTTGGGGGACGCCGACAGAGAGTGGTTGGGGGGAAGAGGCAGAGTCAGAGAAAGAAACACTGAAAGAGCGCTAGGAGAGGTAGGAGGAGCACCAGGAGAGAGCAGTATCCCATAGACCAAAATTATGGAGAATGCGAAGAAGCTGTTGATAATCAACAGTGTCAAAGGCAGCAGAAAGATCAAGGAGAATTAGGATACAGTAATTGCCGTGAGATTTAGCAGCAATTAAATCGTTGGATACTTTGGTCACAGCCGTTTTGACAGAATGACCAGCGCGGAATCCAGACTGAAGGGGTTCAAGCAGAGAGTTGGTTTCGAGAAAGTCAGTCAGTCTGGTGTACACAACTCTCTTGAGTTAGGGTCAAGGCTGGGCTTTTTCAGAATTAGGGTTACAGTTGCATGTTTGAAGGGTGAGGGAAATGTGCCAGAGGAAAGGGAGAGATTGAAAATTTTAATGAGAGGAAGAGCAAGAGAGGGAAACAGAGTGTGGATGAGATATGAAGGAATAGGATTGAGGGAACAGGTGGTTGGGGGGTGGGAGGACCGGAGCAGAGCAGAAGTCTCTTCTGCTGTAGCAGGTGCGAATGAGTGTAGAATGGTGGAGGGAGTGGGGTTGGGTGATGTATTGGTAGGGGAAGGAGAGAAATTAGCAATCTCTTCTCTGATTGTGGAGATCTTCTCAGTGAAGTGAGATGCAAAGTTTGTGGCGGACAAGTTGGTAGAAGGAGGGGGATTAAAAGGGTGAAGAGCATCAAAAGTGTGAAATAGGTGTTTGGGTTGATGGGACAGTGTGCTTATAGGGGTGTTAAAGTAATTTACTTTTGCAGTGGAAAGAGCCAGGCTGTAGGAGCGCAGCATAAATTTATACTGGAGGAAGTCAGATGCAAAGTGAGACTTTCTCCAGCAGCGTTCAGCAGTTGTAGAACATTTTTGGAGGTAACGGGTCAGCTTGGTGTGCCAGGGTTGTAATTGGGGTCGCTTGCGGTGTTTGATTGTAGGAAGTGCCATGATGTCGAGTTGAGAGGAGAGAGTTGAGATGTAGAGTGAGGTAGCAGAGTTTGGGCAAGTTAGATTTGAGATGGGTAAAAGGAGAGTTTTGAGTGTGGTGGAGAAATGCTGGAGATCAAGGCAGTTGAGGCTTCTGCGAGATTGGTGAGTTGAGGGTGGTGAAATTTGGGTACGGGATATGCTGATGTCAAATGTTAGCAGATGGTGGTCAGACAAAGGAAATGGAACAGTGGAGAGATTAGAGGTGGTACAGAGATTGGTGAAGAGTGTTTCCTGCTGTATGAGTTGCTGATGTAGACAACTGCGTGAGGCCAAAGGAGGAGGTTGCAGAGTATTTAGAAAATTGGGCAGACTAGATGAGACGAATGGTTCTCATCTGCCACCACAATCTATGTTTCTGTGCTTGTGCAAAAGAGACCTGGTCTACTGTAATGTAGGGTGGTCCAGGGTTGCTTTGTATGCCCCGTCATTAATATCCTCTTTTCTGCCAACATTTGTAGTTGTTTGCCTTAGTTGCTATAATTCCGCACAGGAATTGTAAAGTGCTGCAGACAGAGCTGGATTAAGATTGCCCAGGGCCCTTCGCAGGATGCCACACTGGGCTCTGGGTTCTGAGTGTAGAGTCCTGTGTGTCTACTGCGGCTGAGTGTTGTGCATGGTGTGGAGTGCTGTGTGTAAGTGTGGAGGGGACTGAGTGAGTGTGTGGAGGCTGAGTGATGTGAGTGGAGGAGAACGATGTAGCTATCTATGTGTCTAATGTATTAGTTTTACTTTCTATTATTTATTATTTTCACTTTCTATATTGATTTACAAGAAACTGGTTCTTTCCCACAGTCAATCTTTTACTGTTATCGCAATAAAAGGAATGAGTGTAACTTTCACTATTACTTATATCGCCACATTTAAAGGAACATTCGAAGCACTATAACCACTACAGTCTGCTGTACTGGTTGTGGTGCTAGGAGTGCACTGGTGTTCTCCAGGAGTAAGTAGCCAAACAATTTAACAATGGTTCCTTTAACATAAGAAAGATGCGTATTTCTTAGAATTGTAATTTTAAATAATTATTTTAGACCTAATACAAAAGTATTTTAACCGTATTACTTTGGATTACATAAAAGCCACAGCTTGAGCCAAGGCAGTTTATGCAATACAGAAAATCTTGCACAGAAAGGCAGACTGGTTTAGATTACAGGCTCTTAAAGGTCCACTCCATACCACTGTAGCTGCTGAAGTGCTTTATGGATGAGAAGTCTCCTAGTTTCTAAAAGTGATGATTTCTATGAGAAACTAACTATGGAACACCCCCTGGCTGTCAATCAAACAGCCAGGGAAGTTTGCAGACTCCTTACATTAGGTCCCCTATGAGAGCGTGCCAGACCTCAGACCAGACGTGCATGAGAAGCCCAAACGGTTATTTCCCTGTGAAGATAAAAAGGGGAGGGCTTGCTAAGGCTGCAGTTTATAAGATCTCCAGCCTTTCCAAGCTCTTTTAATATATACCCCCAGTGAATACATGCACAAAAAAAAAATTGGGGTGGGGGGGGCAGTGTCCCTTTAACCTCTGGGGTGATACCCAAAATGGATTCCCAATCTAGTTTAGTGTTTGGAGCAAGCAGCTGCTTATAATAAATTATTCCCAGTGCACTGAAGGCTGCACCAACACTGGAATTTGTTTGTTAGGTTTTTCGTAGAACTTGATTCAATTTGATTTGTTTTCTGTATCCCCCCATAAAGGGCTTATTGTTAACTTTATCTACGATAATGATATAATGACGTAATTATATTGTTACATAATTACTATGTGTAAATTCAAATACCTTTTTTTTGTATGTATTACTCTGCTGATTGTTGTATTTTTCAATAGTGTATATATACTTTTTGATTGGATTATTATTAGGCGAAAAATACTTTCAATACAAAAACTATGAAAAGAATCTATTCATATCCAATATATATTATTTTACAAGATGTATGTGACTCTAAACTTACTATATAATATCAATGACTGAAAGTATTAAAACATTTAGAAGGAACATTTTGAAGGATACATAGGGCAGTATATCGTGTATTATGACTACACACAAGTTATTTATTTAAAGTGTGAATTGTCAAGAATTCAAAGTGTATGCAAAGAACATTCAAATTTCAGAGCTGATCTGACATCATAGCCGGCTGGAGATTTATTTTCTGGTTTTGGCAAAAAATGCAATACTCACTTTAATTTGAGTCCATAAAAGTTCAGCCGCGACAGAATATCCAAATTCAAAAAAGTTTTATTAAAAAGTTTTACATAAAGAACACTGCTAAAGCACCATATGAATTATGCATTGCTTCACCTGCTTCACATTGCTACCCTCTGCATGTAATCCCCGATAGGTATTTGTTCTGAGTTCTGGAGTAAATGTCGTAAACATGTTTTCAAATAAAAATAGTTATTCCGAGAACGCCATCATTGTTATTGTTTAAATAATGTTCGCGTTAGCAACTTGCGCCCCCTTGTGGCTTTTCCAGAAATTTTAAGTTAACTCTTAGAGTTAGGAATACAAACCTGTATTCATGATGCCTTAGTGTCCCTGTCACTCCCTAGTTAGACAGATACCCCCGCCCTTTGTGTGTGCAAAAATAAATAAATATATATTTTTTTACTTACCTTTTTCCAGCAGCAAGGCTCCCTTATGGTTACTTATCTTGCTGCCTAATAATAACAAAGTATTTAACCAGGAAAGGTACATTGAGATTACTCTGGTTTTCAAGTATGTCCTGGGGATGTTACCTTAGCTCAACATCCAGGGGTTGTTGTTATTATTACCTAATTTAATAGTACTTATTTTATCTATCGCAGAAGGAAGAAGGGCTGAGTTAACCCTGCCAGGATTTAAACCTGCAACCCAAGGGATGAAAAGACTCCACTGAGCTATCTCACCGGCCTAATGGAAGCCCAATCCAATGCTTCTAATAGGGCTGGCATTTCCAGGTTTCACTATAGAAAAGCTTTGAAGGGCTTACGCATCACATGACCAAATTTTACTTAGTGAGTGTGACGGAAGCACCTCTAGTGGCTGTCAGTATCACAGCCACTAGAGGTGGATTTAACGTTGAATGGTTAAATTAACAGAATCACTACACTGGGGTGATGTTGCTTGGGTGACTTTAGAAGGCTTGTGGCAGCTGCCAGGTATTACCTTCTTCTGCTCTGTTTGCCAGATTTGTTTTGCCAATATTCATGTTTTCCGTTTCTAGTGTCACAATCCAACATTAGCAGCTGCTGATTACTTTTATAACATATGTTATACTGTCAAGGCAGGTGTATGTGAGGTTGAGAAATACTTTGCAGATAAATGCCTAACCCCCAAACTGGCTGTTATACTCGCAACTATTTTGGCTATTTTGGCTATGGCATATACAGGAGTAGTTACTAAAGTAATTTGCAATGGGAATTTCAAGTCTAATTTTAGGCCAGAGTAGCAAAACTTGAAGCTTCGCTTAGATAATTTGTCTAATTCGGCTATTTTGACCTTAAATTCGAAATTCACTTTTAACTCTTGTCAAAGTGAATATCCCTGTTACAAAGGCAGAACAGAGTTATTCACCAAAATCTGAATAGTAAAAATATTATGTAAAGTGGTACTATAACCACTACTATGTTGTTACAGCAGTTATGGTTCTTAGAGTGTTCCTTAAAATATTATAACATTCAATGGAATGTTTTAAAGGACCACAATAGTGCCAGGAAAACAAACTCGTTTTCCTGGCACTATAGGGTCATTAGGTCCCCCCACCCTCAGGGCCCATCTCCCGCAAGCCTAAAGGGGTTAAAACCCCTTCAGCCACTTACCTGGGGAACTGTCCACCCCCGGCCAACGTCCGCTCCGAATGCATATGCGCGGCAAGAGCCACGCGCATTCAAACCACCCATAGGAAAGCATTACTCAAGGCTTTCCTATGGATGTCCAGCATCTTCTCACTGTGATTTTCACAGTGAGAATCGCGGAAGCGCCTCTAGTGGCTGTCAATGAGACAGCCACTAGAGGCTGGATTAACCCTATTATAAACATAGCAGTTTCTCTGAAACTGCTATGTTTATAAAACAATGGGTTAACCCTAGCTGGACCTGACACCCAGACCACTTCATTAAGCTGAAGTGGTCTGGGTGCCTAGAGTAGTCCTTTAATGTGAAAGTCTGCATAGTTTTTGTTTTTTTGTTTTTGCTTTAAAAAGTTACCTTCAAAGTGATGACCTCTTGATAATAAACACACAAGTTTTTAGAAAATATGTAAAATAGATTTCATTTTTGAAAATATGAAAGATAAAAATGTGCATATACAATATGCATAAACGAAAAGAGCACTTCACGAGCAAAACTTTTTTGCACTTATAAAAACAGGTAAGCATGCCTTCCGTAACAGAAAACACTCTGTAACTTCATATACATCCTTTAGTGTAAAGCATCAATAATTAACTATTTTATTCAAATAGAACAACGGTAGAAATATTCCACGAAACCCGAGTTAGGAGACTCTCTACAGCTGACATAAAAAAACTACAAATGTCCTTTTTCCTGTTCTTACACCATCTGCCTGATATCAAGTCTTACATAAAAATGAATCTTGCAGCCTAACATGGTTATCGAGTTAGCAATTCAAACTTAAAGGACTCTATACAAACGTGTATTCCTAACATTATAGTTCCTTGGGGGTCGTTTAGGTGACCGGCTCCCACCTGTAGGGAGAAAAATGTTTTACTTTACTTTTTTCTCCCTCGTAGCGCCAGTCTCGGTCCTTCTGGCCTGCCTCCTTGGTTGAGATCATTAAGATCGATGATCTTAGGCAATCTAATTCTTTGCCAGAGGAAAGCATTGGGAGGCTAGTGCGCAAGTTCTGCAAAATGCTGTGCTGCGCCAAACAGATGGTCTCTCAGAGACCATCTGATTGAAATAGCAGAGTTTTACTCTGCTATTTCCTTGTAAGTGCCTCTAGTGGCTGTTTGAGTGACAGCTACTAGAGGCATTTAACCCCTTAAGGACCAAACTTCTGGAATAAAAGGGAATCATGACATGTCACACATGTCATGTGTCCTTAAGGGGTTAAACCCTGCAATGTAAACACTTACAATGTTTTAAGATGTAGGGTTAAAATTAGGGAGACATGGTACCCAGACCTGGGAAACTTTTTACATCCATAGTCTTGAATATTCTTGTTACAATATGACTATCTTAAAAGAAAGAACATTTGTCCTCTTTGCCTCCTCAATTACTTGGGATGTGTTTCTGGACTTCTGGCACCTCAGAGGTTAAATCTTGTTTTAAATCTACTATTTAAACATGTAATTCTTTACAGAAATACCTAGCCTTGAAGTGCCACTATATAAAATATGCATTACATCCCTTAAAATGTTACTACAAATTCAGTTAAGTATTTTTTTAAAGCATCCGGTACATTTTGTTTCACAGTTATTTTTTTAGTTAGTGAAGTTAATATTGTTATTTGACTGGACGGAGGAGATTTATCAAAAATGTTTTTTTCTAAAAGTGGGGCAATCACCATGGAAACCAGTTGTTCCGGTAGGAAAATTCCATCGGTTACTCGTCTCCTTTAACATTTTCCGACACTTTTTAGAACAGAACACTTTGGTAAATCTCCCTCATTGACAAAAACAGCCCACTAAAAATAATCGGAAAGGTGGCGAAGAAACTGCAACAAAAATAGCGAGAAATAGAGACACATAATAATCACATTTTTTTTTTTATCTTATCAAGAAATATATCATATATATTTCTTAAAGAAAGATAAATCCTTTAACATCCAATGTGCTACAAATGTTGCAACATACAATACTTTTAAAATGGAATGCTGGTTATCAGCCAAGCTAAGACTCTTAGTCCACATGGCTGCACTCCATTTTCTCAACAAGTAATAAACCTCTAAGATGAGAGGTACAGGAAAATATTTCCTACAAAATGAGAGGACAATAACTGATACATCTCAGTGTCCTCTGGATTTCACAAGTAAATGTCATTAAATTGCAGACTATTTTCTACCACGGCCTCCAAATAGTGTCGTTTATGCTGAGGTCTGCTTGCTTTTCTTCGCTGCATTTCATTGTAACTGGTGATGAGATACACGCAGCCTCTGTTGACTTGCAACAGTTGATCAGTTTGAGTTCAGCTGCCTGATGCTTTTGATGGACAGACAGGAAATCGAGGACTTCACTGTAACATCGTGAATACCCATCTTTGAAATCCATTGGTAGTTCTCTCTTCACATGGACTGAATCTGGAATAAATTAAAATAAAGGAAATTAATTTAGGCAATTAAAACAGGGAATAAATAGAACAGGGATACACGTGCAAAGAACACCCCTACTTCTCAAACTACAAACTTGAAAAATAGGAAATGAGTAGGCAAAAGGATGGACATAGGGAAGAAGACAGACCGTCAGATTTATTTCTGGGGAAATATAGGAAGTATTTTGATTGCCAGAGGGTTGATTAAAAGTTAATATTCTATAAATAATCTAATTATATTCCACAAGTCTACATTTTAATTAAATCAGACTGTGTGTTTTATTTATTCTTCCCCTTAGGCGTTCACGAAAAGCATGATTTCTTCCTATATACCAAAGCAAATCTAGTTTATTATTGAATTTCTGAAGACGTGTCTCGGATATTCCGATTGATCTATTTCTCAATGCTGGCCAAGTTAGGTTGATATGTACCGTTTGGAGATTATCTATTGCAGATCTAAGCCTGAGAAATGAGATTGAAGAACTCACTATTAAAATTTGGCAGCTGTTGCTTCCTCAGATAGGTGACGGTCATCTCCAGAATGTCTGCTTTCTCCAGTTTGACGTTAGGCTGTTCTTTGTGGAATTCTTTCTCTAGAAGTAGTTTTAGTTGCTCGATGCTGCTGTTTATCCGGTCTCTGCGCATCTTTTCCACAGCTGGCTTTCTCAACTGGAGAACAATGATCGACACATTAATCCAATGATTCAATAAAGTAAAAATAGCCATAATTATTTAACATATAAAAAATATTTGAGCACAACTGCCCAGATCGTTACAATGTTTAAATATTTATTTGCACTATCTATCCATCCATCTATCCATCCTCTCAACACTATCCATCCATCATCTCAACACTATCTATCTATCTATCTACATATCTATCTATACCATATATCAATACTTATCTATTTATCTATCTATTTATATATAAATCTATTGGTTGATCTATCGATTGATCTATCTATCAATCTATTAATTGATCTATCTACCTATTAATCTATCGATTTATCTATCTATTAATCTACCCATTGATCTATCTATCTATCTATCTATTAATCTATCGATTGATCTATCTTGTATATATTATCTAAAATCTATAGCGATCTTTGATTTACCTTGTTTTTTTCTTTTGTAGTTATCTTATGGTGATTTGATAAAGCAGCAGTGCTGGGTGCCATGTTTCTGAATAGTTGAGGGAAATTTTTTTTACTTGAGGCAATCCTTGACTTAAATGATCTGTCTGACAGTGCTAATGGCTTGTATTTATACCCCCCAGAGTAGCTAGAGATGGTGGGTCTTGTGCTTGTTAGAGTTTCCCACACTCTGTAGCCAATGAGGGAGCCCTCGAGCACAATAGGGGAAAGCATTCATTATGTCATGCTGCATTGACAATGAATGGCTTGGGTATAATAACCTACTCTGAGAGGAGCAGGTGGGAAGTGTGTGAGGGGATACACTGTGCTGAAAATTACGTGATCTTCCCTGGGAAAAAAATCTGGCTCTTCTCAAGGAAGGCTGCTGACTAGTGCCACACATCTATAGCATTCTGGCAACACACACTTCACGGTTTCCAGTAATTCATGTATTTTAGCTGTATTTTGCTTTTGGCGGGACATAGCTAATTACTAAAGGAAGAAATAAATGTGAACCCTTTTAATCTCTGACGACACACGTGCAAGTGTGCAGAACAAGCCCCTGAGGTTTAAATCTAAACCTGTCGATTTATAATGGAACATTTTTTTTTTTCTCATATGAATTTAAATGTGATGAATTCACTAAGAATGCCCATTCACTGGATGTGATGGGTATAGATAGAATCCTGTTCAGTTTTTTTAAAACTGGAGATTCTGAAAGATGTGAACAGATCGTGTTCTTACAGTGCAAGATTATGTTACGTTTATTTATAAAGTACACTATTAAAAAGAAAAAAAATATATATTTTTGTCCCCTTTTTCCATTCTGTGCCCTGCTTAATTATATTAAAATGTTAAAAAATAAAAATTGTCAGCGCATTAAAAAAAGTCGTAAACTCCATGAAATTAAATAATGATACCATGTTAAGAAAACTAATTTCTGATTTTTTTTAAATTTTTTTTTATTTATATTAGATTTTAATGTACACAAATATGTTTGCTTAGGTCAATCATTGCACTTGACTATAATTTGCAAATCTATACAATTCCTCGTTTAGTAAACATAATCTCCTATGACTATAAGATTTAGCAATCCAGGAGAACTTATAAATTGAAGCGAAGATATCACTGAAATTAAAAATGATAATATCCATTATGGATGCGTTTTTTTGTATGAAAGACATTTGGCACCAAGACCGTGGGTTATCTGAGACATATATAGACAATATAGGTTTGATATATCGGTTCTCAAGATACAGTCAAGAAGAAGATATTGTAGGAAATCTTTTGGAAGTCAAAGAGTTAAATACGTACACATATTTTATTTATTATCTGTTTTATGTTGAGGATAGATTCCATGTGCATTTTTTGTGTAGGTGTCATATCTGGGAGGAAACTATTTAGTTAATGCAGGTCACACTAACTAATAGCAAAATATGAAGTTGGGGTTTAGTCATTTAAATCTTAATGCAACCCAAGTTGCAGAAGCCATCCTGGCCGGGACAACCTAGGAACATATGCAGTCGAAAATCATTCACAATATGTATCAATGAATTTAGCAACACCGCTCCCAAATGGACCTGAATGTACAGGGTTATTTACTAGAGTGAAAATTGTTGTGAATTCAAAATGAATGTGAAATTTAAGGTTCAAAGGGCCGAAACAGAATGATTCTCCAAGTCAGCTGTGCTTACAGCTTGGCTATTTTAGTTTAAAATTCATAAATACACTTTCAATTCTCTGTGAATTCCCCACAATTCTCTCTTTAATATATAACCCAATGTTGTCCTCTCTAAATAGTTCCAAATGCTTGAAAAAAAAGAATGATTGACAACAGGCAACAATGAACAATTATGCACGTCTATGCCAATCAATGTACAGCAGAAAGGAGAAATATATATATATATATTTTTTTTTTAAAAGATAAATACATTGAAGCAAATGTCAGTGTATGGAATAATTTTTTTTTTTTTAAATGACTACTGTTATTAACCCTTACATTACTGCCTGTGGTATGAGTACTTAAAAGGTATTGTGTCTGAGTCTCTCTCCTGGCTAACAAAGGTCTGGGTACCATTTGTTTCATTTTGTTAATTAATTTGTCTCTTAATTATTTGAATATTGGCTGCTTATGCTGTTGAGCAAAAATTTCAGATTCCTGTAGTTTCATCTGCAAAACACAGGTGCATTAATTTTGTAAATGTACCTTTTATTAGGAAAGGTTGAAATGAATGCAGTGTTTTTGGCATTTGCTAAATATGCAAATCCTATACTTCGTATGGAATTCACATCTGTGCATTGATTATTTAAAACCAAACACCAGATTGTACTAAATGAATATTCAGTAGAAAATAGCCATGTTTCCTGTGAATTTTGCAGTAATAAATTGAAATTTGAAGTCTTGGGGAAATCCAGGGATAGTCAACAAATTTTACTAACCGTGATTGTATTGACAATTTTGTGAATAACCTTTTGTAGGTGCAAGTTACATAAATGATCACACGTCAGAACGTGGAGAGGAGGACTTAGTTCTACGTTTACTGGATACCTATAAATAGTTTACAGCAAATACGTAACATGTTTAAAACATTTATTTCTATAACAATAGCATTTCTAGTAAATCATCCGCCTACATGGAATTTACGGTAGGGGTTTATAAGAGGCACACCTGCACCTCAATCAAAACAAAATTATCAACCAATGAGAAAAGATTGCCAAATGCATGGCGCTCTGTTGTAACATAAGTGAAAATATGTTAAAAATTGCTTAACCTTCAGAAAACAAACAAACAACAACAAAAAAAGAACATTTTTACTGTACCCTGCCTATTGCTATATATAGCACAGGATAGCAATACAGTATCCTACTGGTACTAGGTTAATGTTATTTCTTTTTTCCAATGTATTTGTTTCCTAATCAATAGTGATTTCTATATTATAAGAGAGAGTGTTACATTCATTATTGTTAAGATACCTTTTTACATGTCTGTTAGTCCGTCTGTTATATATCCATCGATCCATCAGTCCATTTATCTATCAGTCCGTCTGTCTGTCTGTTGAGGTAGACAGACAGATTTACACAATAAGGGTAATATTTTTTTCTTTGCGAGATCTCTTACAGTGATTATGGTAAAAAATTATGGAAATCGACATTAATCGACATACAAACCAATAGAATGTCTTTCAACATCTTGGGTCCTTTGCATCCAAAACAGCACCTCTCTTACCTTGATAAATATCCCCCTACAAAGCATGCTGAAACAATGTACAGTGCGTCTGGATGGGTATTTGGTGCACAGTACAGTAAATGATATATATGAACAGACGGCCTTAGGCTTCCAGGCCAGTAAACACGACACAAGTTTATATTTGCTGACCTACATGTAACCAAACCCAGGTAAGTTTTAAAGAACTCAATCACACTCTCCCTTTGCATTTGTTTAATACGAGTGAGCCCTTTGTGTTGTGAAGCAGCTGTGGGGCCTTTATTCCTTTTTGTGAACTTGTGGGAAAGTGTCTCTGACTCCTTCTCAGACTTGCTCTTAGAATGTAGCGATTACCTCATGCTTTTTGTAAGAGCAATATGTTCAACAAAAAGGCCGGTCTTTTTCTATCCTGGCCAGCATATTTTATATTACTTCACACAATGGCCCAGGCCACCAAAACAGACATAGTCCAACATATCGTTATCCGAAATATTCATTGGCAATCACTAGTGACTACATTTTTAAAAAGTTAATCTATTCAGCAGTAACATGCCATTTTGTTGCTGACATTTTTTTGTTTCTTTGAAAACTCCAAAAACATATTCACATAATTACATTAAATGGTATAGTACTAAACTGAAACTTTTAGGCAAAAAAAGTCAAAATGTGAGCATAGATGAGTTTCAGAATTCTTCTAAATCTGCATTTTTTTTTGCCAAAATTTTACTATTTGGTGTTGAGTGAATAAATCGCTAAAAGTAGTGAAAAGAATTCTTCAAAAAGAAAAAAAAATGAAATTACGAATATTTTTAATATGTCCACCTCAAATGCAGGTATTTCTTTGCTATGGAGAAAAATTCTATTCATGAAAAATCCCTAAAACAAGACATAGGTCAATGCATTGTAATGGTTTAAAAATATATTAAGATTAGTACCCTGTGTGCTATGGATTCCTTGTGTACTATGTATACCCTGTGTACTATGGATTCCTTGTGTACCACTTATACTCTGTGTACTATGCATACCTTGTGTTTGCATACTCTGTGTACTATGTATAGTCTGTGTACTATGTATACCCTGTGTACTATGGATTCCTTGTGTACCATGTATACTCTGTTTACTATGCATACTCTGTGTACTATGTATACTCTGTGTACTATGTATAGTCTGTGTACTATGTATAGTCTGTGTACTATGGATTCCTTGTGTACTATGTATAGTCTGTGTACTATGGATTCCTTGTGTACTATGTATACCCTGTGTACTATGGATTCCTTGTGTACTATACATACTCTGTATACTATGCATACTCTGTGTACTATGCATACTCTGTGTACTATGTATAGTCTGTGTATACCTATGTGTATAGTCTGTGTACTATGGATTCTTTTGTGTACTATGTAGTCTGTGTACTATGGATTCCTTGTGTACTATGTATACTCTGTGTACTATGGATTCCTTGTGTACCATACATACTCTGTATACTATGCATACTCTGTGTACTATGCATACTCTGTGTACTATGTATACTCTGTGTACTATGTATAGTCTGTGTACTATGTATAGTCTGTGTACTATGGATTCCTTGTGTACTATGTATAGTCTGTGTACTATGGATTCCTTGTGTACTATGTATACCCTGTGTACTATGGATTCCTTGTGTACTATACATACTCTGTATACTATGCATACTCTGTGTACTATGCATACTCTGTGTACTATGTATAGTCTGTGTACTATGGATTCCTTGTGTACTATGTATACCCTGTGTACTATGGATTCCTTGTGTACTATGTATACCCTGTGTACTATGGATTCCTTGTGTACCATGTATACTCTGTTTACTATGCATACTCTGTGTACTATGTATAGTCTGTGTAAAAAATTCT